CACTCACACACACTCACACACACTCACACACACACACTCACACACACACACACACACATGCACGCACGCACATGCACACACACACACGCGCGCACACACACAGACACAGAACCAGCCCTGACCCAAGGCTTCCCGCAGGGCGATTGGCTCCTTGTACCCCCGCCCCCCGCTCCCCACTGCGTGTCAGAGCCAAGCTGGGTCAGGACCTCTCCGGGAAAGGGAGGTCCCCTCGCACCTTCACCTCAGGCCCCGTCTCCCCGCCTGAGCTCCTGCACGGCCAGGCCTGGGGTGGGGTGGGGGTGCCCTCTGCCCATCGCCTTCCAGCCCGAGCATCAGCAGCATCCTCAGCCCTCGGGGAGGGGGTTCGGGGACTCACTGGCCCCCCGGGCACGCCCTTGGCCAGAAAGGCCCTGATCCGACCCTGACCCTGAGCACAGCACAGGCCCACAGTCCACGGCAGCAGAGCCGGCGGCGGCGGACACTCGGGGCGGCGGGCGTCCCAGCTGCGGCGCCTGCCGCGGGCACACCCTCTGCCCTGGCCCTGGCGACGCAGGCCCTCCAGGGCGGGGGGACTGGGGGGACACGCGTGCATTTCGGGCCCGAGTAGAGGCTGAAGGGCTCCGTGAGCGCGTGCAGCCAGGACCCCCGCTCCAGGGCCGGCCTCTGCACACTCCAGCGGCCTCGGGCCCCTGGGCGCCGGGCTGGCCTCGCCGAGCCTGCCTGTGTTGTTCTTTTAGTTTTGTTCTTCTTCATCCGAGGATATTTCTCCGCTGGTTTTTAGAGCGAGTGGAAGGGAGGGAGAGACAGAGAGAGAAGCACCAATGGAGAGACACAAGCTTCCCACACACACCCCGACCAGGGCCGGGGATCGAGCCTGCAACCAAGGTGTGTGCCTGTGACTGGAATCGAACCCGGGACCCTTCCGTCCACAGGCCGGCGCTCTATCCATTGAGCTACACCAGCTGGGGATCTGTGTCTTTCTAGCCTTTTTCTTCGCCTCTTCTTGTTGTTGTCCTCCATCGGGGCCGTGCTGTTATTTGCCCTGTTAACGTAGCCTTATCACACTTGCCCCAGCACGGCCCCGCTCCCGGACGCCCCCTCCACTCGGGGCTTGTCGCTGGCGCCTGGGGGGCTGGACCAGTTCCGGGTGCGAGGAGGCGACCAGCTCCACGCTTCACGTGTTGGTTATTCCTTCACAGAAGCAGGAAGCCCCGCGCCCCCCGCCCCCCCTCAGCACCACTCCCCCCCTCGCTAACAAGCACTCACACCCGAAGAACGAAGAACGTTGTGAGTTTATTTGAGCCAAACTGCGGGCAATGGCCTGGAGGCAGGATCTCAAGGGATTGGGAGTAGGATAGGGTCAGGGTTAGGGCTAGGGGTAGAGTTAGGGTTAGAGCTAGATATTAGGGTTAGGGTTAGAGTTAGGCTTCGATTAGGGTTAGGAGTAGGTTGCGGTTAGGGTAAGATTATGATTAGGGTAAGGTTAGGATTAGGTTATGGTTATGGTTAGGGTTAGGCTTAGATTAAGGTTAGGAGTAGGGTTAGGGTTAGGGTTATGGATAGAGATAGGGATAGGGTTAGGGTTAGGGTTTGGGTTAGGTTTGGATTACGGTTAGGGTTAGGGTTAGGGTTATGGACAAGGATAGGGTTAGGGTTAGGGTTAGAATTAGGTTAGGGATAAGGTTAGTTTAGGGTTAGGTTAGAGTTAGGGTCTTTCTAGTTCCTGGGCGACAGGAAATGCTCACTTTGGGACCATGACTTTGTCACACTTCCCTGGGTTTTCTTGTGCCTCTGTCCCTAATGGCCTAGCACCTCCCCCTCCCTCATCACAACATCCCTTTCATTATTACCTCAAATTCCTCCTCTCCGTGAACGAGGATACGACCTTCACACCCCGGCTGCCAGTGTGTGCAGTCATGTCAGCTGTGGCCCTTCGGGCACCGCGTCCCTCCTATTCTCCCTCTTCCCTTTCTCTTTTCTTCTTTCCTGGACGGATATGGATTCTTAGCAACTGCAGCAGCAGCAGCAGAAATAAAATCAACCATAAAGGCCTAAGTCTGTGATTGCAGAATAACCCTAGGATACACTGCATTCAAAATACAACAAATGGCTCAGCTGGCTAGTCTCAGGGGTTGAGCTTCGACCTATGAGCCTGGAAGTCAGAGTTTGATTCCTTGTCAAGGGTACAGGCCTGAGTTGTGGACTTAATAACCAGTGTGAGGTGTGCAGGAGGCAGCGGGTCAGGGATTCTCTCTCACGCTTTCCCTCTGTCTCTACCATCCCTCCCTCCCTTCCCGCTCTTCTATGAAATCAATACAAATATATATTTTAAAAAAACAAAAACAGAACCATGGTAAATGGCTGACACTGGGGAGCTGGTGAATGGCAGCCAGGGGACAATGGACCTTCCAATGGCAGCTGCTGTAGGAGACGAATCACAATATCATGTGGAGATGGCTTCTCATGGAAACAAACACTAAGGCAGATTTCATATAACAAT